TTGCTAAGAATCTGTTCTCCTTGTAACAGGCTACATTTACTTCTATTACATTTTTCTGAAGGGTTTATTTAAATAATTTGCATCTTTACAATCAATATACATGGCAACTCTAGAAAATTTCAATTTATGGCAGCAAATTTCTGTCAGATCTAGTGATAGAAGCACATTTGAAGTTTGGGACAAATTCCGGGCCTTAACTGTCAATAATTAAAAATAAGTTTGAATGGCATATATCTCCTAAAAATCATGCTGAACTCTTCTTATAGCTCCATTTATACATGTTTACACAAATTTTAACACTCATTTAGTATTGTAGATACCAGTGTTCTACTGATGTTTTGTATATTGCAGTTTTGTTATTCATCTAAAATAGCTATCATTGATTGGTACAGTTTTACCATTATCAAGGAATAAATTAAGATGTATCATTTCCTCTAAGATTACATTGTTTATAACCATAGGAATGGATTAAAACAGTGACCCACACAGAGCCGTAGATGTGAATGAAACCAAGTCCTGTAGGTTCTTTTGTTACAGGACCCGAGTCAGGCTGAAAAATGTCCATTTGTGAGCAGAACTGGGGATCATTCCTATCAATCTCCCAGCCCTGAACAAGGATGAATAACAAAATATTATTAATTCTACTTGTAGTCTTGTGGCTATAAGTTTAATTTCTTCTACACTGACCTTTTAATGCTAGTCATATATGTAATTTTGTGTTCTCTTATGCATATCCTGGTGAATCTAAGAATAGCCTGCTTGACCATGCATAAAGAGACATACTATCTCTTCGGTTCAGAGTATTAAATGTATATCTGATAAATATTTTTATATCTGATAAATATTTTTATGTGTTATTAGTAAAATATGGTATTTTCATAAACTGCACAGACTCTTTTGTTGTTGTTTTTGTGTAGACATCATGACATTTACCATTAAACTATAAAGAATGTTATAGTTATACTTTACAATTAAGTAAAACATAATTGAGAACCTTTAATGGTGATAAAGAACTGGTTTACACTTCTGATGCCTTTATGGGACTTATTCTCCATAAAACAGGTTAAGGAGCAATGTTCTACCGATCAGAAGCATATGTTCAGCCTTGATTTATTTTCCCAGCCCTTATTGCTCACAGTGCAGATATTGCATGGATAAAACCCTACTGTTGCTCATAAAAACATAGTACCTACTGAAAATAGGTTGATAAATTGTAGTTCTCGCTTCCTTTTTTTGTTGGTATATTTTGTCTGTAATAACAAGGCCACTAGGTGTCAGTAACGATCTAACATCACAGTTCCACTGTGGTCTTATTACTAATTTTTGTGTCTTTGATTTGTCTCTTTTATTATCTTTGTATCTTACTTCCCTTTTTGTAAGGAGGATACACTATTGGAAATATTTTTGAGCCTTTGTGTTACCATATTATTTTGTGTAACTTTTAGAGTAGTTTTCTGTGAACAGTTTCCCTATCTTATGTAGGGAATATAGAATAGCAATAAAAAATATTTGAGCTTTTGAGTCTAGCAGATTTATTCTACTACTTACTATTAACAATTACCTGTTATTTTCTTTTGAAGATATTTTCATCACCTATACAAATAAAAAATAAAATGTCAGAAATTGTATGGATTAAATAAAACACTGTGTTAAAGTATCTCCGATAAGAAAAAAAACCCCAGTAAATGTTAAATTTACCTTCTACCTAAGTGCTCTCTATTTAGGAGAGGAGGAAACTTAGTACATAGATGTTATCAGCTTGGTTTTGAATAGGAGATCCTTTGTTCATCTTTCCTATGTAATAGTAAATAGTTTACATTTTGACTCTCCAGACTGTCTCTCTGGATTTAAAAAGAAGGTAAAAGCCCATTTTGCAAATTAGGTAGAAGTAAATGTAGAAGACTAATCCATCCATGCCTATAATTTAACTTATTAGCCAACGATTTTTATGTAAATTTAACTATGAAAGATAATTCTGAATTTATATCTCTTCATTTTGCTTCCAGAATTGTGAAATTTCCTAGTATGATAAACAAGAAAGTCTCTGGTTCATTTTGGACCAACTTAATCTTACTATTTTAATGTTGAAAATTTTCGAGTGATATATTAAATGACATATATTGTGCCATGATCCCCTTCTCTTTTGAAAGGATTTTCAATAATTACCTATATCTTATAACCCAAAGACAAGAACCCCTGAGTAGACTATGAAATGTTTTTTAAAACCACCAAAGAATATACAGAAACCATTGCAGAGGCATAAGTTGTTTTCTAGCTCTGAAACTTTCAAATGAGATTTTTTTTTAAAGATTTTATTTATTTATTTGACAGACAGAGATCACAAGTAGGCAGAGAAGCGGGGGGGGGGGGGGGAGGAGCAGGCTCCCTGCCGAGCAGAGAGCCCAATGCGAGGCTCGATCCCAGGACCCTGGGACCATGACCTAAGCTGAAGGCAGAGGCTTTAACTCACTGAGCCACCCAGGCACCCCTCAAATGAGATATTTATAAAAAGAAATATTTCCACACAACTAATGAAACATACTCATTTTATCACTTTATCACTTTATCTGGGAAAAGTTAATGCTTCCAAGATTTTAAAACAAGACTTTTATATGCATATGGGCGTTCCAATAGAACATAAAGGACTGAACACACACTTAGTTTCATCCTCTTCTCAAATCTAACTAATAGAGGGGCCTTTGGTTTAAAGACATTACCCTACAGGGGCAAAAAAAAAAAAAGTGACAAAAATGGCAACCAAATTTTAGAAGCTGGATGTCTGAGGAATGTTGAATGATTTAAGAGACCTGAGAAAGGTGAATTCTAAACTAGCACTGAGGAAAGCTGGAAAGCATCTTCCTTTACATTGCAGATCCCCTCAAAAGCTCAGATATTGGTGAAAGGTGGAAAGAAGGATGAGGTGGGGCTGAAAAGAGAGTTAGACTTTCTTGCCCCCCAGAAAGATTGGAGGTTCATTCTTGGAGAGAGTCAGAGTATCTCCAGACTGGGGAATGCCAAGCACAACTGTGTGTGGCAGTGCTGATCTGAAAATGAGGAATAACTGAAAGATTTTATACCACATAGTGTAATCATCTTCCGCCTTCTCCTATGTCTCCAAGAAGACACTGTCAGTAGGCAGAATATAGAAAGTCCTCTTTGAGGAATCAGATCAGCGCGAGAAAAGATCTAAAGCTATTAACAACAAAGATTCCCAAGAAAATGGTGTAGCTAGCTACACTAGAATAAAGATCATATTTTATAGGCCTCACACATATATATTGAAATTTTGGTCAGCTTTATAGTGTTCATTCATACTTGCGAGAAGATGGCAAAGGATCATCAGGCATTTGAGGACCAAAACATTAAAAATAATGGAACATCAACAAACCAAAAAAGTGGGTTAGAGGAAGTAGTATTTATTTAGGGAGAATATTAAAAAAAAAAAAAAAAAAACTATTGGGGTATCCTCAAAGAGATAAGAAAAGGTATTACTTTCATGAATATGACCAGGGATACTACTTGAAAAGGACCAATGGGGGGAAAAATGTTCTTGGAAAATAAAAGAACAGAAGAAATTGAAAATTCAATAAAAAGAAGATAAAATAAAGGCTTTCTCTCAAGAAAGTAGAGCAAAAAGGTAAAATGGGAAAGAAAAGAAAGAGGGGGCCCAATATCCAAATAATACAAATTTTAGAATGAGTGAAGAGAAAATAGAAGGGAAAAAATTTACAAGTAAATCACCAAACAGTATTTTCCAGAACTGAATGATGAATTTAGTTGAAAGGCCTCTTGAGAGCCCAGTGCAGTGAATGGAAACATTCCCACACCAGGGCTCACCATTATTTAATTTCAACACTGAAGACAATGGAAGATTCTATAGGCTTCCTGGGAAGAAAATAAGTTTCATGTTAAGGATAAGGAAACAGAAATAGCATCAGATTTCTAATCAAAATTTGGAAGCTGTAAGATAATTGGGCCATGCCTGGAAAAGTCCAAGGAGAAAATAATGGAATTATATGCTCAGGCAGTGTCAGTTTATTGTGACTATAGAATTAAAACATCTTCAGCCATGCACAGTCTCAAGAATGTACTTTCTATACCTTTTACTAAAGTAGCCGTTGAGAGGTATACTCTTAAAAGACAAGGGAATAAACCAAGAGGAGAAAATAAGAGACCACGAAACAGGAAAACCAGTATAAGAGCCTGTGTGAAGGATCCTCAGGATGATCAGAAAAGATGATGAAATCCTAGAATGGTAATGAGAGATCTCTTATGAAGATGGCTGGGCAAACAGAACAACTGGTCCACATTAAAGAGTTTTGGAAGACTAATGGAGAGTTCTTCAAGAAAGTGGAATTCATAGGCTATGTAATGTGCTTCATAGTAATAAAGGTTTAAACAGCGTGAGAATAGTGGCAATGAATTAGTGTTAAGTATCTTGAAAAACTAAGGACTAGAGAATAAGGCACACTTATTAAAACAGGGAAAACAAAATGTAGAAGAAAGGAAGAATAACAGGGAGGGAGATACAACCTGTCTTAGTTGTGAGTAGCATGTAGAATCATCATATGACTAGATTACTGTGGTAGAAGAATGGGAGTGCTGGATGCATAACGAGGGTTGCAGGGCAGCACAGAGCAAGAACTGAAGCCTCATACTACATTGAAGGAACTGATATTTCAAAAAGTAATTTAAAAAAAGTATATTACTTAGAGATACAGAGGTAAATTTCCTAAAAGGGGTTAGAAATGGTTGCCTAAGAAAGAAAGAGGAGATGAGCCAAGGGATTGCTATTTTTCATAAAGCCTTGGAGAACTAGTTGGCTCCTAACTGTGTGCATGTACAATAACAGAATCAAAAGCTACAGTGTGTTTGTGCTTTAAACAAACAGTTGTGTGCATAGGCTTCCACAATGTTTTTATAGATTTTTCTTGGATTACTTTAGAAAATGGATTTTGCCTGTGGAGACTGATAATTTTTTGTTTGGTTTTTGTTATCAGATCAGATCCAGGCTGTGAAGACATGAAAAGATAGTATTTGGAAACCTCAACAGTTTTCAATTCAAGGAATGTATCTTAAGGCACACTGAATACTTCAAATTTTTTTAAAAGATGTTTGTGCATCTAGGAATACTTCATAATCTTCTGCTTGCATTTATGGACTCTGAATGAACTTTTTAAGAACATAGGACTTCAAGTATGCTAATCTGACCATTAATTATATTAAAACTAAATCATTCCTCAGAAGGGCTCCTTCTCCAGAATTACCAACTTCTTAGTAAAAGTCTACATTTGATTGTAATTAGAATGTTTAAACTCAGAGTTATAAGCCATCTCAATATCTCATCATGATTTATAATATCTTTAATGCATCTTTTTAAAATTGTCTTACAAAGTTTAGTTCATGGTATGACTTTGCAGGTATGATTGTGTTTGGAAAAAGAACTTTAAATATTTATAAGGGACCATGGGTAATTAATATATACATAAAATTTTTACTATATGTCACTATCAATAAACATACAATGTACAAACTAGTGTACTTCATTTATGCTGAAAAGAATAATGCTGTGTTAACGTAATATTTAGTGTTTTACTGTCAAGCATTTGTAAGTTTTCTGAGACCAAATTAAGCTGAATTTATTTATCCAATGAATGTGTATTGAACCGCTCTGTACCTACACTAGTCCCACATTGTCCCAGGCAATGGTGATACAAGGTAAATAAATCAAGACATATTCTTAATCCATAGTGAACTTAAAATTAATGAGGGTGATTTTGAGAACCTTTTTATACATAGTATCATTTTATTTTTGGCTACATGAATATCTTGGATTTTAAGATTAAGAGGTATGTAGATGAACTAATGATTCTTAAATAATTACTTTAACTGACTTCTTGTTTCTTTAAAATGCCTCCAATTACTATAGCACTTTCTTAAATTGTGACTCACCAAACTGTGTTTTTCCTGAGCATAAACTGCTACAAAAATGTTGTTTAGAATTTTAGACACATCTCAGGCATCTACTCTATGCAAATTGTGTTAGTTCTCAAAACTTAGAGACCACTTATAATTGTGACCTCTGAGTAGAAGCTTTCACTTTAAATTAACAGTATATAGAGCAAGGGTGTCAATTCTGAAAAACACTACATATAAAGAACAACTGTAATATATAATGTGTAAAACATCTTACCATGTCCTTAGCTGTGAAAATGATAAAAACAGGAGGCAAGGGGCACCTGGGTTGCTCAGTCAGTTGAGCTTCTGCCTTCAGCCCCTGCCCTTTTCTCTCAAATACACAAAATCTTTAAAGAAAATAAAAATTAAAAAAGAGACAAAAGATAAGTGAGTAATACTAGGTATGTTACCCTAACGGTGGTACTGGTATATATGCCATAGAGATTTGAATTGAAATCATTTTAAAAGTTAAGTTCTGTAATTCAGTTTCTCTTAGGCCAAAAATCCCAGTGGTTTGGAATCTGGTAAATTAAAAGTTACCCAGAATATTTGAATAGTCCAGCATTTTAGCTAGCTTACAGGCCTCTGTTTTGATGAGGATACAAAGTGAGATTCTCATTAATCTAGCATTGCCTCAAATATAAAAGGGACATGAAAACACTGAATATAGTTTAACAAAATACTTATATGCTATTGTTCTGGAGGATAGGAGAATAGTTTAGGAGGATGAAGAAAGAGTATATTAGAGTTCAAATCCTTATCCACCGGAACGACTGTAATAGTTCAATAATAATAACTATCACCATATGAACAATATATAATAGCTATCACAATAATAATAATAGCTATCACTATATGAACACTATATTTTGAGCTAGATATTACTACACATACTGGATTTTATGTTATTTAATAGTCGCAATAACCTTGTGTGGTAGGTAGGTTTTATTATTTGTTTCATAGACAAGGAAACAGAGACCAGAAAAAGTTACTTGCTAAATGGCACTAGTAAATGCTGGTGCTATGATTTGGAACCAAACCATCTGTTTAAGATAGATGAATTCAAGAGACAAGAGTATTACAGATAGTAGAAATACAGAGCAATCTGCCACAAGGATAGCGAAAAGGATTGGAAAGGCCCTCATTGGGGTGGGAGACCAGGATGGGGGTGGGAAAGTCAGAGAAAAGTGACTACTATTTTGTTTTGTTTTTGATTGTTTCTTCTTTTAAGTCTCTGAATACTTCAGATTTTCAACTCTGGGTATAAATGAGTAATAAAAATACTTTTTAAAACTACGCTGATACTAAATTAATGAGTACTGCACAAACTGCTGTAACTCATACCTGTGCAAATATTTAAAAGAGAAAAAGAGTACTTTATCCTTAAGTTTCCATGATCTCCAAATCTAGTTTATGCTCTATTAACATCTATTCTACTGTACATTTTCATGTGAAGATTATGTAGAAGCACATTGGACTATAGGATGCCATAAAAGTGTGAATAAGCTGAGGTTATTGCATTTGTATTTAACATGGTATACAATTAAAATTTATTGCATTAAAACTCAAGCAAGTGTTTTTTCATGTTTAGATATCACTCTGTTGCAATTTTAATTCATTAAGCTCTATATTTCAATATAAACACTTCGTAAAATGTTCAAAACTTATTGTATGTATTGTACTTAAGTATTTATATGTGGTCCTATTCAGCCCATGCCTTGTAAATCACAAAAGAGTTCAGTTTTATATAAATTTGTTTTTCATTTATAGGTTGTCTGCTAAAAACTGTGAATTATTTTTTGATTGCTTAAGTTATTTTTTTTTTCTCTAGAATTCTTGGCATAACACGTTGTGATTTCCATAAATATATGCAATTACTCTTGGGAATACTTAAGGCAGATACCTCCTACATGTAACTGTGGTGTGTTAAAATGCTGTAGCATTTTAACTATGCATATTTTCTGCTTTTTGATTAGTCTCTTACTTTTTAGATTAAAAATAAATAAAACAGATTAAATGTTCACTTAAATGGATTTAAAATAGGTTTGTCCATTTCTGTGGCTGGGGGGAAATACTACAATAATAGAAAATTGGTTATTGTGTTTAATTGAATGTTTCAGGTAACTTAGTTATTATATTCATAGTGAATCTTTCTCATTAAGGATGCTCCTGCTGGGATTTACAAGGGACTTCCTCAGGACCATTATTGACTCTTCCTTCTGATCACTCAATTTTAATGCCACACTTGGAAGTTTCATCAATGTACAGTGCTAAACTTTTTCTGGTGATTTAGAGTAAACCAAGAGGGACAAATTAAATCTTTCTCCAAATTTGAAGTCACCAAGTAATGCTACATACAAGTCATAGAGGAATAGTAGGTATTTTGAAAACAAAATTTGGTTAGATATGTAGTAGTAATAATAAGCATTTTTTTTAAAGATTTTATTTATTTATTTGTTAGAGAGAGAGAGAGAGCATGGGAGCACAGGCAGACAGAGTGGCAGGCAGAGGCAGAGGGAGAAGCAGGCTCCCCGCCGAGCAAGGAGCCCGATGTGGGACTCGATCCCAGGACCCTGGGATCATGACCTGAGCCAAAGGCAGCTGTTTAACCAACTGAGCCACCCAGGCGTCCCAATAATAAGCATTTTTATAGCTTTTAGTATGTGCCAGAAACTTTCTAAGCACTTTACATATATTAATTCATTTAATCCTCTTGACAACCCTATGAAATAGGTGTTCTCATCTCTGTTACATAGATCAGGTGTCAGCAAACTACCAATCTGGTTCTGTATAGCCCTTGAACTAATAATTTTATATTTTTAAAGGATTAATTTTAAAAAAAAAGAGCAACAGATACTGTAATGTGGTCTGTAATGCATAAAATTATTTATACTCTGGGGCTTTACATAAAAATGGTTGACCCCTGTTATAGTGCAAATAAGCAGGACCCTGGATTTTGAGTCTAGACAATCCGTCTCCAGAATGTATGTTCTTAACCTCTATGAGGTTTTTCAAAAAGCTAAAGATTTTCTAAAATGGAATAGAACAATTTGCAAATTACTTCTTTCTTAAATAATTATATTAAGTATGAAAAATTAGATTCAGATGCCTACAAAGTAATGCTCTTTGAAATCTTTTTTTCTTCCCTGGTAAGACTGATGTCCTAGCCTTCTGAAGTGTTTTTCCTTCCTTTTCTTTAAATGAGTAGCAACACATTGGGCAGATTCTGAAACATCAGACATGTTAAATTTTAAAGAATTATTTGTTTATTAGAGAGAGTGCACGTATTGTGGGGAATGGGCAAAGGGAAAGGGAGAGACAGTCCTAAGTGGACTCCATGCTGAGCATGGAGGCCAATGTGGAGTTCAGTCTTATCATGTTGAGATCACGACCTGAGCCAAAACCAAGAGTCAGACACAACCCTCTGAGCCACCCAGGCACCCTGGGACACATTAATATTTTAAAGTATAACCACACACACACAGGTTATCCCTAAGCATATGCTTTGACTTTCCAGATTTCCCTATGACTTTTACCAGTATATTTTGACATAAATGATAAGTAGTGTTGATAGTCTTGAAATACATATGGTAAAATTTGGGAACATTTATGATTCAGTTTGTAGATACGCATTTTTTTAAAAAGATTTATGTATTTTTAGTGAGAGCACAAGCTGGGGGAGGGGCAGATGGAGGGAGAGAATCTCAAGCCGACTCCCTGCCAAGCAGGGAGCTCCATGTGGGGCTTGATATCGGGACCCATGAAATTAGGACCTGAGCTGAAATCAAGAGTTGGAAACTTAACCGACTGAGCCACCCAGGCACCCTGTGGATATGCATTTTAAGTTAAGTGATCACGAGTAACAACTATAGCTAAAAATATTTTCTTGATTATAAACTCCGTGGTTATCTCTCCATCTTCTAAATTTTTGCCATGTGACTGGTGATATATATCCATCCATAAAGTCTGAGGCCCCAAGTTAGTGTCTCTCTCTCTCTCTCTCTCTCTCTCTCTCTTTCTCATTCTCTTTTGGAAAAGTTTATAAATTCTTCCAGGTATTTTATGAAATACCTAAATGAAGTAAACTGAAGTAGGTTTATGCTTCTTCGAGTTAAATGAAATCATTAATGTTGACAGTTAAATCCAATTTTACATTCAAGCTCTATCTTAGCCTTAGTGTACTCTGTGTGTGTGTGTGTGAGCATGCTCACACTTCACTCACCAGTGATCATTAACTTTTTTCCTTGGGCTTTCTTGGGCAGATTCGTAGATCTATCTTGCAAATGTTATTCTTATACCATTTTTTAGGGTTTTTTTTTAAAAAAAATGTTATTTGTTTTTATAACTCTTAAATGTGACATATCTGCTCTTGTCATTTCTGGAAACCTTATTATTTGATAGAGTTTTAATATATTTTTAGATGCTAGATTATTAATGTCTTAAATACTATCTGCTAATTCGGTAAGTTTAATTTATACATTTACAAAATACAACTTACCCTTTTTACATTTAAAACCCCTATACAATGAATAATTTTATTTATGCATAGCAGGACAATATTTTTTAAGAACACATCCCAAAGCCCTAGGATTTTGAAGAACACCCTCAAGTAAGCATAGTGATAGTTGATCAAAAGTGACCTTGGAAGGGTGTCTGGGCTGCTCAGTCAGTTGAGCATCCAGCTCTTGTTTCAGCTAAGGTCATGAGGTCAAGCCTTGAATGGGACTCCATACTCAGCAGGGAGTCTGAGTGAGATTCTCTCTCAATTTCCCTCAGCCCCTACCCCTGTTTGCGGGTGCTCACTCTGTTTCTCCCTCTCTAAAATAAATATTTTTTTTTTTTTTTAAAGAAAGCTACCTTAGAAGTTCTAGTTCTGGGTAACTTGGAGTAAGCATACTCCACCCTGTCCCCCCTTTGAATGCAATGGTAAAACCTGCATAGACCAGCTATTTGAATGCATTGGGAGCTACTTGAGGACTGAGAAGTAAATAGTAGTGGGAAGATTGAAGAAGACTGGAATTTAATGTGCCACCATCCAGCAGTGACTATGCCCATTTTTTCCCCCTGTGGTGTCCTCACTACCTTGGCTTAAAGCAGCTTAAAACCCAGAACTAAGCATCTGTGCAGACATAGCTCCAGGAGAAATT